CCCCTTGAGGCGATCTACGCCGGCCAATATCGACCGCCGGGTTCCGAATCCTCCAGACTTCCTATTCAAAGACCGAGGTACTCCTAAGAAGAGGCTATCGAGTCCCTTGAAAAAGAGCAATGTGCCCGGTAGTGCAACTCCGTTGACCTCAACACCAAGACGGACTCAGAATGACCTTCGTCGTGAAACGGGCCGGTTCTGAATTCAGTCATGGGATTGGACATCTCGCAAATTGACGAAACAAGAAGAATCGCCGATGTATCGTTGCCGTGCACGGGTCATTCTACCATCCTGTCATTTGTTCATTAAGCGTACACACCGTGTAACCATGACATTTTCCAGCATTTGGCCTTGGCGTTTGGAGGTCCACTTCGTTTTCACATGATTTTCTATTCTCATAATGTCTTTTTCATGACGTTTCCTCTCCAGAGTGCCATTCAGAGTCGTCCTGTTTCTCTATTGACTGGGAATGTTGGCTGGGGGGGGTGACCAGCCACTGTAGTATAACCATGTTCCGTCCCTGGCGCAGCGCGGTCTGGCCCATTGTTGACTTGTCGGTACTATGGAGTAAAGTCTGGGCTATAGTTTCACTCCAGTGTCTTGATTTCGAGGTGAAGCAGTTCCTTGGGTGTTGAGATTGGTCGATGGGATACTGTGACTTTGATTTTGTGAGATACCCTTGATCCTTTGACGATCAACATTTCCGATCTACACAATCTGCCAACACTTAGTCTACACTACGATCATCTTGTCCCACTCCATCAGACAGACTGCCGACATTCTCCTACGCGGCTGCAGTTTCCATTCCAGAGGGTGGACAAAACCAGCAGGCGCGCATTCCGCAGCGGTTCCTTCAGTCCGCGTGTGTGTTTTCTGCTACATTCCACGGCATGGCAAGTCGGATCACATAGCATTCCCCGCATATAATTACAAATCTGGGCATATTCTTTTGTCAGGCTGGGAATTATTCTTTGGCTGGGAACCTGCCACTGCACTTGGCGGGCCAGTGCACGCGTCCAGTCGGTCTTTTCTGGCAAGCACTTCGCCATGCTACGGCGATCCTTCATCCTCAGCCTCAGCGTTCAACGAAATAATCGTCAAAGAGCCCTGAAGCCGACCGGACCAAAGTCATCAACAACAAGATAAGTGTCTGTTGCTCAAGGAATGGGTAACTGTGGAAGGTCAACCTGGCCTTGAAGTCCAGCCTGTCAATCACCGTCACTTTCGATACAGTATGGATGAGCTTCTGCACTTACACCAGGGGCACTTCATGAACCTTTCGCCCCGAAGGCGCCACGGTAAGCGGGAGGAGTTGGACGTGGAAGAAGTAGAAAATACGCAGCAGGAGAGAAATACATCAGACCGCGGTGGAAGCCCAATGAAGTCGAGAAACAGTGATTCTGGAACTGGAACTCCAACCATCGTGCGCAGGACCAGACCGACGAAGCTTCCTCTGCCCAGGGATCTCGCAAGCAAAGCCAAGGAACAACAAAAAGATAAACCTGCTACGCCTCAACATCGGGACTATGGTTCTCTCAGGAACGTCCGACCAAGGAAGTCGCCTACAACTTTATTATACAGCAGTCCGGAGGAGGTGATGGACAAAGATCGAGAGCAATATTGGCGAAAGGTCAGGGATAAGTTTGAGAAGGAATCCCCATCGGCGAAGAGCCAAGAGAAGGATAAAGAGAAGGAGAAGGACAAGCACAAAGAGACTTACTACGGAGCCTACAAAAAGATCATATCGCTGGCCAGCTCTCCAAAGAGCGAACTGGTCAAACAGAAACTGAGGTCGGCCGGTGGCGACCTACGAGGTAGCCCAAAGTCGCGGATTGCGAGCCCTATCATCCATCCTCGGCTTCGTCCAGGCTACAGCTCTCCCAGCAAATTTGACAACCAGTCCATCAGTCAAGGGAAGCGACAGCTCAGTGGAGTTCAACGAAAGAATTCTGATACGGACGAGAGCATTCTGCACTTTTCCACGGACAAGACGGATAATGCTACCGACTCGTCGATTAATTCTCACTCTTCTCTGTCGCCCGTGTCGGGCCCCAGCAGCTCGTTGACGGAATGGGAGGACAAATTCGTTGTCAACATGCCATCCGCCAAAGAGCCAAACCCACCGACAATGAGTGCACAGCAGATTGCGGAATTCCAGCAAAGCATCGAGCGGGTGCACAACGACGGGGGTGCCATGCTTGATCCAGACTCTCTGCCTAGTCCGCGTACCGGGACGCCCGAAGACAAGGATTTGTCTGCTGTGCAGCCAGCGAAGCCGACCTCGTTTGACGGTCAAGATCCTCCTCCCCCACCTCCCCATTCGGCCGGGGTTGAGGAAAGTCCGCCATCCCAGCCAAAACATCCGAGGTACTACTGTCCCGATGAGATCGGCAAAAATCGCATCAGTACAATATGGGAAGAATCTGCCTCGAAATCCGAAAAGGATGTACCAAATGTCAATCCAGATGGCTCTTTTTTAGGGTGCAAGGAGATCAATGGGCCCAACGACAAGAACCCCGACGAGATCCTACTGTTTTCGCCCGTGGATCGTCCCCGGGTAGTCGATGTGTCGAGTCCTATGCCCAGAAGCCCCAAAGAAAGGAAGATTCAAGTGGTCCGCCAGAGGAATCCGGACCTCGGAGAGAAGACCGTCGCTCGAGAAGAATGGAAACCAGGTACTCCGAATATGAAATTTGTCCAATGCTCGAAGCCATCACCGAGGACCGTGTGCCGCGAGACCACCTGCCAGCAACCAGAAAAGACGGCCCAGGACCCGAGCAAAGCGGACCGCGAGTCCCCGCCACCTTTGGGCAAGCGCCTCGAGGACAGAAAACCGACTCCCAGGGACGACGATGTGTTCATTATCACACCCACTATCATACGCACTATGGTGAGCATGTCCGATATCAAGGGCGCGGCGCAGAAGGGACCTCCCGTTGGAATACCCACGTCGCGCACCGCAGGCGACATCATCACCGACGCTCGGGCAAGACCGCAAGGAAAGCCTTCGCCACTGGGACTGAGACGAGTGGCGCAAAACTCGCAGGAAAAATCAAACGTATCGTCGCCCGTGCCCTTGCGAAGCGCTCCTGTGCGGAGTATCCCCGTGGTCAAGCATCGAGCAGAAGCCGGAATGCGCAAGGTCGAACAGTCTCGAGATATGCGTGGGTTCATCCGTATGCCAGGCACGACACCACCGTCTGCAGAAAGTCAGGCAGAGCGCACCGGAAATAACCCAACACAATCGCGTGCTTCGAGCACTGGATCGAGCAGCGAGAACTCGCAAGTGAGACGAGTTACGGACTCCGGCCAAGCCAACAGGTCGTCGCTGGTTGTCAATATCTCCCCAGTCGGTTCGATCGACAGAGGTCAGCCAGATTGTGGTAAGACAGTGCCAGAAACGACCAAGGTGATAGAAGTAGCGGAACTGGACGGATTACAAGTGGTAGAACACAAAGAAAAGACGCCACCGCCTCGAATCACTCCGTTACACGCTGATCCGCCGAACATGGAGATGGAGATGGAGGTGGCGGGTCCCACCAAGAGTGCGACAAATGCGCTGACCCTCGCCCTGATCTTGGAAATCTTCGTCCTATCAGCCGCTCAAATGGAGGCTCTCTGGCAGAGACTCGTGTCAAATCGGCATTCCAAGACCGCCCTGCTCAAGATTGCCATTAACAGCGTTCTGCAGATGCTCGAGCATTGCCTTCAGGTTCTCCGGACATGGCTGACGGTCTTTTCCGTTTACAATGCCACTGGGGTCTGGCCGCGACCGGCAGAAGGCGATCTCGCTCGGTCTGTGACGGATATCTGTCAGGCGATTGCTTACCTCGTTGTTCTGTGCTTTGTGATGATGGTTGTTGAACGGGCAGCCGGGTACATAGTCCTTGTTGGAAGTTGGGTTGTATGGTTTGCGAAGCCTTTTGGATGGTTCTTTGTAGCAATAGGAAGGGCTCTCTTTACATGATTCTGCAAGTGGGCGGGCCGGATGTTTTCCCGGCATGATTGTATCACATAATACTGCTGCATGGATGGCGCGAGGGGTCCTTGACTGGTATTTTCAGCTATCTATCATTACTACGCGAAAGTGTGGGCACCCACTCTTTGATGACAGGACTATTCTTACACAGGCGGATAAATATGACTCCTACTTGTGAAACTTTGTGATAGAGCAAACAAGAAGCGATGTGACTCGAAAGCACAGACTACAGTAGTCTTGTAGTCCAGGTATATATCTGTTCGAATGTTGGAGGCTACAGGTGTCTGTGTATCTGTCTCCATCCAACTTTGACTATGTCTGCTACCCAATCTTAGCGCAAAGACAAGGGAACGCATCACCGAATAGAGTCGTCGATGCTCTTTGTATTCTTCTAGAAGGGAGACCCCTAAACAGCGAACGGGAAAGACATATAGTGAGGAGAGAAGAAAAGAGAAGGAAAAATGCACCAAGAAGATGGAAGGTGATGAAAAAGACTCCGTATCCCGTGTTGAAGAGGGTCACTTTTGCTCTTGAAAGATTTGACCGACTGCCTATCCGCTGAAACCAAACTCCGTCATCCGTCATGTATGTTGAAGTATCGTCGAAGGACCCATTCCTTCTATAGAAAAAAACTATGCTTTTCTGTCTATGCAAAGCCTCTTTTTGTTGGAAAAGAGGAAATGTGAGCAAGGACTTTCTGTTCCGTAGCGTCTAAGCTGATACCACATTAGATGTTGAATTTCGTAATCCTCCTCGCTCGTGATCAATGATAAAAGAAAAAGATGAGAGGGGTATATGGGAAAGAGAAATGTTGAAAAATGTTGAAAGTGAATAACGCCCAGGGAAGAAATCGTTGAGAGGTCTTCAGTCGTGTCGCCATTAAACATGATGCCCTGGGGTTTGGAATTGTGTCCCCGGGCTGGTATCGTTGAGATAGATGTTGAATAAGGGGTATGAGAGGTTGGAGAGAATTTTGGGGTAGAAAGAGTCAAGGCAGGATTTGAGGCTATGGCTCCTGGCCTTAGTTCTTTATGGCAACTTCTTCGGGGACTGCCCCGTTTGGCTGGGACTTGGTCTCGACTGTGTCGGGGCCGACCTCCACGTCAAGGTCTTTCACTTCCAGACCGTTGAACAGGTCGAAGAGGTCATACGTGTTGTGGAAGTCGTTGTTAACTAAGATATCCAGGGTTAGCAATTCGAATACATGCAGCGAGCGAACGCAAACTTACCGATGTTGACCAGGTACCAGTTGTCCATAATATCCTGGATCAACTTCCGACTAGGGCTGCTGGCATCATGACATTTGGCCCAGTCTTCACCCAGGCGGTATGCCTCATCCTTCCAAGCTAAGAAACTGATCGTCTCCACAATGGTCGGCTGGACGATTTCTCGTCCGGCGAAGATACCCCAAGTCAGAGCATTAGGGCTGTCACGAGTGTTGGTGCGCAATTCACGATTCTTGGCCACGGCATGGTAGGTCAAGTCGGGATTCTTCTCGATCCGAGCGATCAGCTCGTCAAGCAGATAGGGAGGTACAAAGAGCTCGAGGTATGCCTTCTGGTAGACGAAGCCGTTCTTGGGACCCCAGCCAAACACAGGGTGAGACGATCTCACACCGTTCACGGCAGGTTGCGAGTTGACTGTGAGTAAACCCCTGCTATTCAGCTGGACCAGGTTGTCCTTGATGGCATTGGCTTCGCCACTGATTGGCGAGTCGCTCCATGGCAGACGGTCCAGCTTCCCTTCCAAGTAGCGAACGAAAATCTGCGTTACATCGCGAATAGACTTGGGCTCGCCCCAAAGTTTGATGTTCTGTTCGTTTGTGCCCTTGAGGCCGATGCCATAAGCGTCGAGCTCACCAAAGGCAGGGGACCGAGAGTCGGTCCAACGGCCGTTCGGGAATTCATCCCATGTCTGTGTACGGGCAATGTAGGAGGAGTTTCTGTTGCGCCAGAAAATGGGACGGACATCCTCCCCGCGGCGGTTGAGTGCGAGTGACGGCCGCCAGGGCAGGGGTCTCTGAAGCGGGGTCTCCTCCGAGGGAATCAGTTTAAGTTCCTCAAGGACTGCCTGTGTCGCTTGTGCCAGGTTCATGGTGTAGCTAATGTAAAGTCGCATTTAGCCACGTGAAAAACCATTGATATACTGGGTAGGAATAAACTCACAAATGCAGGTGCTTGATGCCAGCCGCGAGGAGACGTCGGCACATGTCCGCAACCAGCCGCTTTCCGATCTCCTTGACAGCAGCATCGTCATTCTTCACCGGTTCCAGAGCCTCGAGCCAGTCTGGTGGGATCCGCGCCTTTGTCCAGTTCGCTCGTCTGATGAATGCGGCATATGTGGAGATAGGCATGATACCGGGAATAATAGGCACTGTGATGCCCTTGGCACGGCATTTCTTGACCCATTCAATGAAATTGTCTATATCGTAGAACATCTGCGTGATGACGAAGGAGCTTCCAGCGTCGACCTTCTCTTTCAAGTGATCGATCAGCTGATCCACATCCGGGTTGTCGTCTGCGCCTTCAGGGTAACCGCCCACACCGATGTCGAAATGATTGCCGTACTTCTCCCGAATATACTTGACCAGATCCTTTGCATAACGGAGTCCTCCTTCAGTGGCTTCCCATGCCTCTTTGTCACGGGGCGGATCACCGCGAAGCGCCAAGATGTTGGTGCAGCCTGCCTTGTAAGCAGCACTGAGTGCAGCATTCACTTTTTCTAAGGGCATGTCTGTGCAGGTCAGATGCATGCAAGTCTCCAAGCCGTACACCGATTGAGCAACGTTCACCATCTCGCAGGTCAAATCCGACAACCGACCACCAGCACCCCAGGTGATGTCGATGAAGGAGGGTCCTAGAGAGTGCATCCGATCCATTCTGTCGTAGAGATTCTGAACACCCTGGGCCGTTTTCGGAGGAAAGAATTCGAAAGAGATACCGACCCTCCCGGCGGACTCGTTGTCCGCGAGCATGTCTTTGACGTGCATCTTGATATATTACAGTCTGTCCGTGAGCAACAATCAGCTTCACATATGGAAAGGTCAAAGACCGCCAGACTTTTTAGCCGGCGTGTCGGCGACGAGTGCAAAACAGCGAGTGAAGTACTGGGCGCTAGAATATGCAAGAAAGCAGAAGTGTACCGTACCTGCAACAAAAGGTCGAGTTATCTGAGCTGGCCTGCCGTTAGATGTCCTTCAGGAGCTGTGGATAATCGCCCCGTTTCGCCCACCGATCTCGCCAGCGACTGCGATGAGGGTTCAAAACCGAAAGTCAAAGTAAACAATGCAAAACAAAGGTTGAGAGAAACCAAAACAACAAAAGTAATAGATTAGCAGAATCGACTGCAAGGTAAACGCAGCAGAGCTATGGGAAAAAGAAACAGAGAAGCGGGCTGCTTGAGAGCACCGGTGTGAGTCGGTGTCCCTTTCCGCTGGGGAGGCCGGATTTCGGAGGACGTGGCCGGCACGTGGTTTCCACTTACTCAGCGAGCAACTCGCAAAGGGTCGATATTTTTAGATTTTAAGTCTATCACCGAGTTTGTATAAAGCAAGCAACAATACTTTCCTATACTCCGAAATTTCAGTGTACTACGTGTAGCTTGGGAGGTTGTTTGTAGTTTGTAGCAATCCACCGGAGGACAAAATACGGGGAGCGCCGATTGACACCTCAGGCCACTATCACCCCGCTGTTTTGCCCCTCCTTCTTCGGCGGATAAGGAAAAAGTAGAGGGGAAAAAAAGAAAAAAAAAGAAATGGTCTCCGTCGAACTATACTCTGGTCTCTGCATTCGGTGATATAAGATATTCGGTCTATTTTTTCATAGTTATCCCTCATAACCCCTCAAATCCAATTGCTAGAGTCAATTAATCCTACCTATCAATTCACAATGTCTGCTTCCGTTCCTCCTCCGGCCGCCGATCAGGATTACAAGGCGTCACTGCTCCCACTACTGATCTCCAACAACGTCCTTTCTTTCGGCACATATACCCTCAAGTCCGGTCGTGAATCTCCCTACTTCTTCACTTCGTCTCTGCTTCACACTGCACCTCTCCTCCGGGCCACATCTGCCGCCTACGCCAGCGTTCTATCCGCCGAGCCTTTTGTAAAGACTGCCGCCGATGGCACACTCAGCCCCAACTTTGATATCATTTTCGGGTACTTTCTTCCCTTGAAGCGTCTATATCCCTTGATTTGAAGCAGTACTAACCGGTCTGATAATAGTCCTGCTTACAAGGGCATCCCCATCGCCGCGGCCGTGACCAACGAACTAGCCGTGCGTGACTCTATCGGCGGAACCCACACCTGGGACAATGTCAGCTATTCATTCAACCGCAAGGAGGCCAAGGATCATGGCGAGGGTGGAAATATCGTCGGTGCCCCATTGAAGGGTAAGCGGGTTGTCATCGTCGACGACGTGATCACGGCGGGAACGGCTTTGCGCGAGGCTGTAGGCATCATCCAGAAAGAAGGCGGTATTGTCGCTGGTGTCGTTGTCTTGCTCGATCGTGAGGAGAGGGTCAGCGATGCGGAGCCCAAGAGCGCTGTCGGTGTTGCGCAGAGGGATCTTGGGGAGAGCATCCCCATTCGGGCTGTCATTGGTCTCCATGATTTGATTGAGAAGCTGGGTGATAAGATCGGCGAGAGCGAAATCCAGCGGTTGAAGGACTACAGGGCTCGCTATGGTGCTGAATAAATGAACCAGGAATGTAATATATTGAATGATACCAATGAGTCTTGATGATGTTCGTGGGGTTTTTGGGCTTGATCAATAGAAGTTTACAATCCTGGTCACCAACGTATAAAGTCATATATGCAGCGGTTTTGATCATTCTTCGTTGTAGTCTTCCGAAGGACCGTCATGAAACTGCGCTCTTCGAGTGTTTTTCAAGTATATATCTCGGTTGTTCACCTGAAATGGCTAGATCTGAGCCCTGTATACGATTGTACACACCTTGCAAGACATACTACATCCCTTTGTTTTCCAAGCCAAACTACCAGCCAGCGTTTGAATGACGATATTCTCGACCTCAAACCACTGCTAATCCCCCTGGATACTGCTCTGACATCATACACCATTTGCCTTCGAAGCAACATCACCTGGAATGTACGGACTACGTGACACCACAACGAAGGGATACTGTGGGGTAAAACCTGTCTGAAACATGCCTTGGCTCATGCTAATCAAATATGTCTCACTAACCATGGGGGTGTACTCACGTTCCAGCTAGAAATCCAATCCTTGGGAGATCATCTCCCACGGAAAACATAATTTAGAGTTCCAATGCATGCCATGCTGGCTTGGAGTCATACAATTTTCCCTAGTTGATAATTAGTTAGCTCATTCGGTCTATGCAATTTCAAAGAGCATGACAGTGTATGTCATTCCCAATGTATAATGTACTGATACCGAGTGTCGAAGGTGAAGAATTTCATCGATTCAAGTGCCTCTTTCAAGGAGTGAAAGGGCGCCTTGGCAGATACCGTGCAGTCCGATCAACGAAAAGTATCGAGGCGGTCCTCTGCCATAAACTCATGAGAAGCCATCTGCCTTCTAGGAGGCTACGCGGCGGTCTCTAAGACTCGACTATAATTACCTTACTAGGACGAGTCTGGATGACAAAAAGTTTTCCAACCAAAAGCCGGTGAGGAGGACATTTTCACCATAGATCCCTAAGTTTCATCTTGCAGGAGATAATGCGAACAAGATCGGCGATCTCGTCCAGCTCTCAAGTCGGTGAAGATTGGGATAACGAAGAAAATGAGCTCCTTCCGGTAGCTTCCAAGCGGTCGGCTCACTGACTCGAAGGGGCAAGCTAAATGTGATATGTGCGCGAAGACGCTGACTAGAAGGATGTAATGGCAAACGATGCTGCATATGATGTATCCTTGTTGCATGTGCCGAGAAATCCTACAGCGCGGCACAGATTTTGTTGTTGCGGCTTGAAATATCATGTTGGGTAACAAGTGTTGGCATGGACGTGGGGCCTGTATGCGGGTTTTCAATAACTCATCGGGCCTGCGTCCTGTTGTGGATTCTGGATGCCGTTCGATGCGCTCTACCGGTGGTCCCCTATAGAAAAAAGATGGCTTCGGCGGCTTCACAATCGAGCGGCATTTGCCGCAATTGGAATTGCAACAGCGATGTTCACCAGGCCGGGTGCAGTGTTCACTTGGCATATAACGAAGAATACCTCAGCAACTTCTCATAAATTTATACCATTGTCCGTTCGTTGGAGGTGAAGATATATCCTGCCTGAGAAGCAAGAGCGAAGAAAGATTATTCAAAGTCTGCTACCGCACTGACTGTTACCAACCTTAGCAGATGTCATCGTACACCGTTAAAGTCATGATTCATCCCACATGCAGAAATGGCGGCTGGGATTGTTACGCAATGATCTGTGCTACGCTGCAAAGCATGACGATGATGATCCGGCATCGATCATGTGTATGCCGCTGATAAGACCCTTGTAGAGATCACCCGAGGGCCGAGGGCCTGCCTACGTACCGAGTACCTACTTACATAGATAGATAAATAGGTAGAGAGATCTCACGGAGCGGTCTGGCTGTCTCCCAGAGAGAAGAACTACCTAAAGAACACAATATTTATGAGCAGCCAATCAGGATAACAGACTGGCATTTAAGGTTGATCTGGTCTGGCATCAAAGCTTGGATCATCCGCCGTCCAGGTCTTGGCGCCCCACTGTGTTATAGTATAATCTGTAACACTACGGAGTACCAAGCAGGTTATCGAGCTCACAGTGAGAGTGTAGTGTTGATATGCGCGCAGTTTTCGAGTCAGTGGTCACAGTTTTCAGATTTAATCATGCAGTATACGTGCGAAATTTGATTGGCGACTTTTAACCCAAAACGCCACAATACAGGTAACCGCACAGAACTACTGATTCTAGAAGCAAGGGCGAAGATCCACTGACAGAGCGCAAAGTTTCTCATACAGAACTAGGGATACTGAGTTTGCTTTATGATATGACGATATCAATCTCGCCAACTGAATTTAGATTACTACCGGAGCCAGGTTTGTGGTATCGGCAATTGGTTTCTGCTCTCTTTGACTACCCAGCAACATGCGCTGATTTCAGTCTCCGACTGCAAGCGACCCATGAGTACTCCGTAAGGTATGTCTGCTCGAACGACCCCGACAACATCTGTAGTACGTCTCATCCCTTTGTCAGGTGTCCTGTTGTTTTCACGCTGGACTTTGTAGAACCCAGGGCTATACGAATAGTATTTGGATCTTCAACCATCTCCTTACTGTACTGACCATGACAACAACATCCCTTTCTCCCTTGAATATGGCCACAATGACTCGGGGAGGTCGAACTGAGACAAACTTGACCTGACTTGAGACATGTTCAAACGGCTTGACAAGGATTGGTTCGTGGTGCAAATCGCAATATCCTGAAATCGCAACTTCTATTATCCCTTTGGCACTACTCAAGCAAGGAAAACCATAATAGCCGGTTGTCAGTGCCCGGGGACCTGTGTATCATCCATACGTAGACGTGTAATTTACAGTAGCCCCGATGAGTGAACCTTCTGGAATCTCTTGTCACTATCAATATGGCGTGCTGGTACATGAAGCTGAAATATCCAATCTTTGCCATGACATAGAAGGAAGAGTAGGAGAACCTTAATAGCCAAATTGCGAGAGACAGACTATTGCCCATGATATCGTAAGATACAGATTGTCTAACCCTTGACCATGAATGTAGAGAGACAGTTGTTACTACGTCCAGTTCTATAGCTGATATTAATAAAGGTACGCACGCATTGAGTGGTTAGGCCACCGTGTCACTAGCACTACGGTGATCTCTTAATATTAGAGAGGGAAACGCTTCTGAGTAATTGAGATGTTATCCGATCCGATGCTTCGCGGCCAGTCAAAGCTTCCGCGTATCGATCTATATCGGGTACCTAGTACCGGCTCAGAGGTTTTATCCACATTTTGCATGCATAAGCGAGAGGCTGACGGTGCATCTCTGATATGCTGGATTGAATCAAGCACGCAATTAGCAGGAGGTAGCTACTATTGAGAAAAAGGCAGGGCCCGTGTTACCACAGTCCATAACCAGAATCTTGGATGCGTCAAGGGTTGCTTCCACAGTGCTATTGGCTCTGAGGGTCATCAGGAGTCACATATCAGATTATAACCACATAGCTGCCCGATTATCAAGGTCTTTGGCGGCTATGCGAATGTTGAACTTCGCATGATATTTTTTGACCACGACTTGTGCATTGAGAGTGCATGTGCTTTCAACCACGCAGCCGTGATGAGCAGCCAGTACCTAGTGAATGAAAGGACACAAGTCTCATCACCGTACTCAGATGTAAGCATAGTTAGATATTACTACTAAGTAACTGCGTACTGTCCGTTTGACGACAGATCAGACAGAAGTGGCTCACCACTCTCAGCCACCATACTCATACATGCAGTATGATATTCTCTCAGAAGACACCGTGTACTCCGTAGCATTCAATAAACTAATGCAGTATGCCAATGTCATTAGGCAAGTAATCAATATACAGTGCAAAGGAGACAGAGGTAAGAAAACAAAAACAAAAAAACCCGGTATGTACGAGAGCATCAGCGTAAGGTACCCACTGGCCCCACTGGGGTGAATACAGTACCCACAGCTGCCTAGGAACCTAAGGCATCTAATGTACCTAGGTGCATTCATCATACTGACTGACTTTCCTCCTTCCTTCATCTTCTTCATAGTCACCGTCAACTTTCCGGTCTCGCTTCCCTATGCTCAACTCTGACACGGTCTCCAGTCTCCACTGCTCAATTTTACTCCACTGCAATGGCCTTGGCTTCACAGGGGGCAGATGATCTGCCGAAAATTATCATATCATGCAGGAAGTCGATGGCTGGTTCTGGAAATCGAGCAGGAGGTCCCGAATCTCAACAGCACGACTTTGAGACAGACCATCTCTCACCTACTTCTTTTCTTCCCGTCTCTCACTCCCTCGGCTATCTTTTCTTACGTTTGCCGTTCTATCTGCATGCGAGCTGCGTCTACCATCCGTCTAACGAGTATCATGCAGCAGCATCAGTAGGTAGGATAAGCGAAGGATAGTTGTCGTCCTGCTTTGCTTGCTCGCCCCCACGATCCTTCGTGGCGGACTTGTTGTCTGTACATCTTTGGGACCCATACTCGACTTGCCTGTTGGGCCTTCTCTCCCAGTTAGACCCCCCTTGTGCATGTTTATCGGACAAATTTCTTTCGTCTCGATCCTCTTTCTCATTGTCCCCTCGACTATCGTCAGCTACTACTGCTGGCGCCACTCGTCCTCTCGACCCGTTCCATTCTCCCCGAGCCTAATCTCTCAACTGCAATTGGCTGGAGTTAACTTTTAATAACTTTTTAGAGGATAAAAAGAGGGAACAAGCAAAGAGTTGTTTGAGAGAGCGAGGGTGGTCTTAAGCTACCTCATAGATCCATTCTCTTTCCCTGCTCTTGTCTGAAATACCCTTCCAAAAGACATTCTTCGACCGTTGAACCACATGCTGCTCTCATAATACGGTAGCACCCATTTTATTGTACGGTCGTCGGTCGACTTGAACATGGGTTGGAGGCTTCTGGGTTCGTTGCTTGCGTTCTTCGCGGCAACCTCGATAGCATGGCCTTACGACGAGGCCCTCGTTGACTACAATCTCAACACGAACAAGCA